GGCAGTGTTTGAAGTCAAAGCAAACTTCAGGAAGCTGGAGGCACAGAGAAAATTGGGTATATTGAAATGAGTCTAAATCAATATGTTTTTATCCAATTCTAACATGTACTAGAGGCCTCAAAAATTAAAAGTAAACACTGGCCTTATCAAAACATGTGTGAGAGAGACAGAGTTCATGAGATGGTTGGTGTTGTCAAATCAATGAAATATAGATTCATCTGGAAGAAGTCCTGGAGAACATCTGTGGAGATTATTTTATTTATGTTACTTTATATGGTGGGTTTTATGATTTTCTCTGACCATGGGATCCAAGACTGTCTAAAATTAGAGAGCCAGCGGATCACTGTCATACATGTATTGATTAAGTCATTGATTTCTATTCTTGACTGTGGATGTGATATCTAGCTGCTCTAAGCTCCAGCTGCCTTGACTTCTTATTCTTGATACATTATACCCCTGAACTGTGAGCTGGAATAAACCCTTTCTCTCTTAATTTTCCTTTTTCAGGGTATTTTATCATAGCAACCAGAAGCAGAGGCATGATTCTTTTAAGAGAAGGCTTCTGTCTCTTCCCCACCACCAGAAATCTTTAATAAATAAATAAAAAAAATTATAAAAAAAGAGAAGGCTTCCTGTCTCAGTGGTACCAGCAAAAACTGTGTGGCTGCTTTAAGAAGGATTCCTGGTTTGCTAGCACAAAAGGTTCTGACTCTTCAAGAAAGTCTGCATGTTGAGCATGTAAATGTGGTCTGTGAGCAGAGTGCTAGAACTTGTTTAATGGCAACATAGACCCACTGTGTGCCTAAAAGTGGGGCAATGTACATGGCTTTCAGAGGCAGAGAACATGCCTCTGCCATGTTGGACTGGGTGGAGCAAGCAGGCCATGTTGGCCCTACCAATGCCCACTTAGCATTAGGAAAAAAAGCACTCCTGGTGAGAAAATAATTACAGATATGTAATAAAGACAGACTCAGGCCTCTAAATGTGTCACAGTGTTGGATAAATTCACATAGGCTTGTGAGAGAGAAGAAAAAGAATACAGACAGTAATGGAAGGAAGTGAATGGTTTTTAAAAATAGAGTCTTAAAAGAGACAGTACAGACAATCATAGATTAAAGGAGTAAAGATAATAAAATAAATATTAAAAAGTAATAGAGTAAAAACAAATAAGCCACGTAAAGATGGAATATACTCAGAAAGTCTGGATTAGGTATATTATTGTGTTATTTAAATTTTTTGATTGTGAATGAGCTAAGTACAGAGACATTTAAGCTTAAACAACATATATATTTTAAAGGTATTTGGACTTCAATATTTGGGTCTAAGGATTTGTTGCTTTGGAAAAGAGGTTCTGCTTTTGTTCCCACAGAGGATAGAAAGTTGTGGATTCCTTATGGACTAATATGGTTTTATCAAACATGATTACCTGAAAGAATGGCCCAGATGGTTCAACATCCTTGACAGCTTCAGGATTGCTGGCTGAGATGCACCTACCACATAGGATACTCCATGAAAGACATGTTTAACAGTACCCAGAACCAGCAGAAAAGAATGAACCAAATGATTGTTTATATTTATTTACATTTAAAGGGGGATATGCTATAAAAATGAATACTTTGCATTAGTATGAATCTTGGTACAAATTTAAGATTAATTTTGTTACATATATATATATATATATATATATATATGTTCTTGATTAAGGTATTGTGTTTCTGCAGCTTACTTAAAAATGCAATATATGATTAAGAAATATAGGTTAACAGATAATCAGCTATATTAGTCAAGTTTGTAGTCATGTTAGATTTTCTAGATATACAGAGACATATTTCAGTTAAAGAGGTATTCTTCAAATCTTTCAGAGACATTCAGAGTATGACATTTAAAATGTTTTAAGAACTTAGGACTTTCTAGGACAATGACACACATCTGCTCCTGGCAGCACCAATCTACTTCAAGAGAAAGATGGGAATTGAAGAGGCTCCTCATGGAGTTTATTAGCCATTTGAGCAAGAAACTGCTCTTGTCTGGACTGCTTGCTATTATGAACTGGACATGCAAGGTACCAGAGAAAAATGACTGCTGAACTTGCCTAAAGGTGAGATGGTCCTTTGGGATTCCTTGTAGTAATAAGAGCAGCAGGGTTGCGTTCCCAGCACCCCGGCCGCCTACATGGCTAGCTCTAGGTTATGCCCCAAAATAATTACATGGAAACTGTATTCTTTTAACACTGCTTGGCCCATTTCTATCTAGCCTCTTCTCGGCTAACTCTTGCACCTGGACGAGCCCATTTCTAATCATCTATGTAGCACCGGTCTTACCAGGAAGATTCTAGCCTATGTCCATCCTGGGTCGGAGCTTCATTGCATGCATCTTCCCGGGAGCGGGGAGCATGGTGTCTCTCTGAGGCATCTGCTCCCGAGAGGAGAGCTGTCGAGTCTGTGTGCTCACTTCCTCTTCCTCCCAGCATTCTGTTCTGTTTACTCCTCCCACCTATCTTCTAACCAATGAGGGCCAAGCAGTTTCTTTTTGGTTAACCAATGACCTTCCTCCATCAATTCCTGATTCATGAAATAGTCTGCCAGACATTCTGAAGAACACAAAAGAAAGTGACTGACAAACTGTCAAAAAAGGTGGAACTGTCTTTGAAATTTCCTGCTTTGTGGAAAAATCTGCCAGATACCATGGGCCTGTAGGCTGAAGCTGGATGCCCCAATGGTACAGAAGAACTTTGGGTGACTGTACAGGTAGCAAAATGTCTCTGTTAAATCTAGCGTTTTGGAAGTTGCTTACAATGCACTTCCTATTTCCTTAGGTAATATTATGTCCTTCTGTAGCCTTTGATGGACTTGAAGAATAGATAGTTATAATTATAGTTTTTTTTAGTGATGATGAAAAATAAAGTAGATATAAATGTTCTTGGTTGTGTTTCTGAAACTTACTTAAAAATGAAATGGATAATAAGAAATACAGGTTAATAGATAATCATCTATAATAGTCAAGTTTGTAGTCATGATAGATTTTCTAGATATATAGAGATATATTTAACTGAAATATATCTCTCTACATTTAATATATGTTGCTTATAATTCTTGCTTGATACCTGTCTTGTTATATGTAATTTTACTATTTTAAAGTTAAAACCTACTTTTTTAATTTGGACAGAAAAGGAGCAATGATGTGCAAAGTCCTTCAGTATATGTGTTGCTTTTATCGGTTAATGAATAAACAAGCTGCTGTGGGCTTTAATAAGGCAGAATAGAGCAAAGCAGGGACAACTTAACTGAGAAAAGGCAGAGTCAATACAGAGCCCATGTATGCCACTGGGGAAAACATGCTCTAACCTTGCTGTTAAGTCACAAGCCTCATAGTAATATATAAAATAATAGAAATGGATTAACCAAAGATATGAGAGCTAGCTAGCAATACACTTAAGTGACTGGCCAAGTGACAATTTTCTGTGTGATTATTTCAGGTCTGAGCTGCAGGGAACAATCAAGCAGTCTCTGCCTATAATACACTAAGACTCTTCTTATTTCAGGGTTTGACTTTCTTGCTGAGGGGTTAAATTCATCAGTCAATGAAGACCTCATGATACAGTGCTGAATTGCCCAGCAAGATATGCCTTCAGGTGCAATAGTGGCATGACTGTTATAAAGGTAACCAACTGCATTTTTTTATGTCAAGGACTGCTACCCAAGAGGTAATTAATGCCTGGTACTATAAACTTGATTAAAAGTTTATAACTTGAGTATAGAGACCTAATACTGATTTTTGCTAAATATACATGTTAAATTACCTTCTAACTATTTATTCATATCAATAAATAAGTGCTGCTCTCAACATAGGTCAAAGTTTCTTTTTGTAGTAGAGAGCAGTCAGTACACACAACAGTTAAATACCAAGAAAAAGTGACCGTTGAGGGTGCAGCCCTATATGAAACACTATCAAGTCTAAAAGGACTCAGAGAACATTGTGGAAAGGTAAGCACATAGAAGGTATAAGAGCTGGAAACATGGTAGTTACACTCAGGAACTCACTGTCGCTATGATTACCTCCACAAGTGGAGACAACTGCTGGCTACTGGAAGAGGATGTTCATTTTTCTTTCAGGAGTGTAGTCACTGACAGGTTGTTCATGAACATGTAGGCAACATTAATTTGTCTAAGAGGATTATGTTTTTGAAAAGAGAAACCATAAGTCAAAATGGACATATTCTTGAGGAGATTATGGATAGAGATGGTGTAGGGAAACTGGAGATGGAAATGATCAAGATAAATTGAACACACACACACACAACTGTCAAAGGATGAATCAATAGAGAACTTTTTTTTAAAGAAGTAACTATTGCAATCTAGGCCCCTGTCTGGAATAAGGATTTAGAAGTCAACGTCTCTTAGTAAACTATAAATTGTCACTTAGCAAGATCAAAAACATGACAGGTAAGAGTGCTGTCAGAAAGCAAATTATAGAAGCAAGAATAAAGATAACACTGCCCAAAGCTAGTACATAAAACAAAACAAAACAAAACAAAACAAAACAAAAAACAAAAAAACAAACTTCTTTGTAGTTCCATTTAGATGTTCAGGCTTTGGCTTTCTTTTCTAAGTCTATAGTATGAGTTTCTGGTATGAAGTACAATGGTCCCAATTAGAAGATGACTTGTGTGGGTCCCTGCAAATGTTTACTGCTGGTCAAGAAATGAGAAGCAGGAAGGAAATCTAATTCAACAAGACCTAGTTAGTTAGTACTGGTTCAAATATCTAGAGCGTGATATTGAACAGTTTGTTTTAGACATATTTAAGTACAGTCTTGAAAAAATCTTCCTGCTTTCATCATCTCTGGCCCATATATATATTGTCAAGCAAAGGCTGAGATTCTAACACCCTTCCCCTCAAATGCCATCATCTCAGTGGTCTGAGATCAGACTTGTTTATCAGTCTAGACCATCTGGAAAAAGGTAAAAAAAGAAGAGTCTTGGCATCTACTTTTCTCTCTTTTATTTCTGATAACAAGACAGAATTGTGACACATTTAAATAAATTAACACTTTATAGAACTGAGATATTTTACTACATAATTATGAAGGTTAATACTAACCTGAAAAATGTTGATTTTATTTCTCATAGAATATGACAGAAGTCCCACATTTCACTAACAGACAAATAAAATTTATTACCCATGTAATAGCATTGGGCATTACTTCTCCTAACTGGAAAAACCAACAGTGAAGCAACTGCACTGAGAAATGGGTTCTGCAGATATATTAATGGAATTTGTACTGAGTGTGTTACCCATTATTGTCACTTAAAGGAAATGAAGGATTAGCTGTGATAGTTACTATTATAGTTAAAATGTATGAAAATAAATTATTATCAACTACCTGAAAAATAGGTAGAAATTTACTTAGGGGTAATAACATCATCATCAGGAAAGAAGCTATAACATCACCTCCAAAAAAATTATAAGAATTACTTAAAAACTAGAACATCACCTTCAGGAAACAATTTGCCAAAGTTACAGAAGAATCACAGTCATGATATAACTAATAAATACATTTTGCCTTATATAAACACATTGCTCAATAGAATTAGGTTATTGGACAGATTTCTGTGACAGGCACTGAGCTAATTTCTGAGTTCTGAAATAAGTTATCTCTCAGTCTCTGTGAGTTACAGGTAGATAAGAAATATAAGGAAATATTTATTTAGTTTGATATTATTAACAGAAGGCTATACTCTGAGTTATTTCAGCCACTTCATTACCCTAAAGAACAATAGCACAAGTTGTTGAGCTAGTTAGACCTGTATGGTTAGAAAATTCTCAAAGTTAGTGAGGTGAATAAAGTTTCGTGGTTGAAAATTATGGAATTGTGGCCTTGTTTTATCAAAATATCATGCTGTTATTATTATATGGCTAGTCTATATTGATCTGTGAGTAAATTGTCCTCTGTTTAATATTGTAACTGTTATCTGTGATTTCTGTTTTGTATACTTTCCGAAGAACTCTTTTAAAGCATTTTTAAAATTTTGAAAATTGTATCTAATAACAAAAATTATTATTAAAATTTTCCCTTTATTTTTTCCAGCAAAATATATGTTTATGATTATGTTGATGGGATGAGAGTTTACAAGATACATACCAAGACTCTAGACCATTGGTTCTAAACCTTCCCAATGCTATCACCTTTTAATATAGTTCCTTATGTTGTGGTGATCTCCAACCATAAAATTATTTTGTTGCTACTTCATAACTGTAATTTTGCTACTATTATAAACTGACATGTAAATATTTGTGTTTTCTGATGGTCTTTGGTGACCCCTGTGAAAGCGTCCCAATCCACAGTTTGGAAAGCTAGACTAGAATGAAATGCTTGAACCACCAAGTTCACTTGCACTAGACAGTAAAGTCCTCCTGTGAAAGATTCTAAAAAGGCTGTCAGGCTCAACCCAACAACATGTACTACAATGAAGACAAATTCTCTGTGGCAACCTTACAAAAAAAAATCATGCAACCTGGCCACTGATAGAAAAGTCAATATGTTAAGTTCTGCAACAAGAAGGAAAATGAGAATATACTTTGTACCAACAAGAGACATGGTGCTGCTCCAAGTACTTGGAATGACTGACAGGCAGAGACAACAACTTTAAGGCAAGAACTGAAGCTATTATTACAACTGCAAAAGATAATTTCATTGTTACAGCACTTTCTAAGGTATCTGCTTGGAAATCAGTACAGTATAGTAATTCTTTATCCCTGAAAGCATTGAACTATAAACACTAAGACAAAATCATTTATCTGAAATGTCTATTAGAAAGATTTTCCCCATATTTTATTCCAAGATTATTTACACTTTGAATGTATAATTCTAACTTAGAAGAGGTAACATTTTGTAAACGAACAGTAGTATCACTCCTTGATTAAATTCTCAACTTTGTTATTAATTTGAGTAGGCATTAGGTCATCATATTTAATCTTTAAACATACTTTAAATTTTAAGATATAAAGGTAGGCAATCACCATTTCTGTTTATATAAGTCGTTTTTAGAAGTACTGTGTCAGGGAAATAATTCATAAAGTTTTGCTTCTTGTCTTTGTGTTTTTACTCAGTTTAATGTTTTTTTCTGTGTGGAAGTAGGAAAGAAAGAAGAATGGAAGAAACATGGAGAAGGAGTGAGAGAAGGACAGAGAAAATTTCCCGTCCATAAAATCAAGTCCTATTTTTTAAAATTCTCAAGTATGTAAACAAGTTAAATCAGAATAGTTAAAATGTGTAGTAATAGTCTCAACCTTGGGACATTATAATGTGCAATTGCTGTTTCTTACAGTGAACAGAGGTCTGCTTTCCTATAGAGTCTAGCCCCTATTTTAAAGGGCTCACCTCTGAAGTTGCTTTCTTGGAGATGTTTTAGAAACTAATATTTTTAAATAATAATTTTAATATAATTTTATAATAATTTTAATAATAAAAATAATTTAAAATAATAATTTTAAATACAGCAGAAAAACTTCCAGAACAATGGACCCAATTAATCTGAGAACAATGATCCCAAAGTAATGTTCTGTATTCATATATGCCTGCAATCATTATATTGCTTTCAAATATCAAAATACAAAACGGATCTATATCTCTGTCTTAGACTTTGGTTGTTAAATGTATCCTTGAGCCAAACACAATGACTACATATTCAATTTTATATGAAAAGATGGAATTTAGTTGCAATGTGTGGTTGCCCTCAAATAATCCAGCTTTCATGAGTAAAGAATGCAATGAATGTTGCTCTGGTAAATATTTCTTTCCTTACCAATAGAGTTAAGTGTTATGAGATTTGTTAATTTTGGTTATGCAAATACTCTTCCTCAAGACTGTATATGAACAAAGGTACACTGCATTTATTTTTTTTCTGAGACAGGGTTTCTCTGTGGCTTTGGAGCCTGTCCTGGAACTAGCTCTTGTAGACCAGGCTGGTCTCGAACTCACAGAGATCCGCCTGCCTCTGCCTCCCGAGTGCTGGGATTAAAGGCGTGCACCACCACCGCCCGGTACACTGCATTTTAACTTAAGTTTAAAGACCACAACAAGAATGTCCAATAACTCTAAATTTATTTCATATGTTAACCCTTTTCTATATTTAACAATGCCATATACATGCTTTCAATTTTAAGAGATAATATTCAAATATTTCTGGATGCTTACTCCTAATGAGGTAGGGTAAGACAAAAATAATGGAGAAATGTTAGACATTTTTTCCCCCACAAGAATGCCAGCAGTCTGGATAGTGAGGTCAATTATTTAGCCATTACAATATAGTCCTGGCTGAATGTCAACATGAAAGGAAGAGTGACTTTAAAAAGAAAAAAAAAAGAGAACTAAAAGAAGACATCATAGAAGGGTGCTATATTCTGAGAATAGACCTCAGTGATCACAAAGATTTGCATATTAGAAAACCAGAATGAAGAAAGCCAGAGTGATACATTATGTTCTTAGGTTGCAAGGCCACAGTGCACTGGATGCACCAGTTTAGTCATGGAGCAAAGTTCTATCCAGTATGGATAGATTTCTAGAGATTCTGAACACAGGACCATTTTCCTCTTTGTGGCAGTTAGACGAAGTGAAAGCATGACAAGGAAATACAAAGTTTGGGATCAGTTAGTAGAGCCAAGCCTGTTGTTGTGGTGATAAAGAAATGAAGAGCCTGGGTTTTATGACTGGAGAAAGTATTTTCTTCATAATGAAAAATGGAAAAAGCACAAGATGTAGATGTACAGAGATGGCAAGGAATGACCGTATTTTTAAAAAAGGAAACAGCAATATAACAAAGAACCAGTATAAGCAAAGAAAACAAATACAAAGTAGACCAGTTGGGTCTTGATGTCAAGGACATTATCACAGAGAATAGTAGAAATAAAAAGGATTGGGGAATGTAACAGTGTTGGGGGGGGGGGATTATTTTAATTTAGTTTCTCTCTCTCTCTCTATATATATATATATATATATATATATACATATATATATACATATATATGTGTGTGTGTGTGTGTGTGTGTGTGTATGGAAGAAATGAGTAATTCCTAGATTTACTGATGACATTATTTAAGCATACTTTACTAAGAAATATGTAACAGCTCTGCATAGATTACTAATTGTTACCTGCTTTCTCAAAGAATGCCAGAGAAGCAACCCTTAAGTTTTTTTCTTAAGTAGACATGAAGGAAAATGGCAGAGCCAACCAGTCTGTGTGCTTAAAACTAGGTACTGATTGTTCTGAATACCGTGTAGTTGATATCTGAGAGTTTGGTTTTGAAGCTGCATGCAAATATACTTTGAAAATACATCTGAAATTTGTGTGATAAAATCAAAGAACTTTCATTTTGGATAATCTTAACTCTACACTTACTACAAATTAATATTTATAATGTAGTGCAGGAAATTACACTAATTCTAAGTTGTTTGATCTACATAATGCCTAAGATATGAATCAGGTGTCTTAAAACCTAAATTGGCAGTATCTCTTAGAGCAATTAAATAAGCATGCTTCTTGCAAAACAGAATGACCTTGCTCAGGAACAAGGATGGTCATGCTCTGGTTGAAGTTGACAAAGACATAGATTTTTAAACTACTGATATCAGAAATTCTGTAATTTTTCGGATGATTCACTTAGAATTTACTAAAGTTGTAAAACAACATGGTGCTTGATTAGAACCCATGGTAGGAAAATGGTAAGGTACTAATTAAATCCTGAAATTGTACTGAAGCTACCGGTTATATACAAAAATAATTCTCCATGAACATTTATGAACACCGACTTTTCTTTGCCAACTTTTACCTAAACCTGTAATTTTTATTTACATAAGAAAATACTAAGTATTCTGAACTATTCACATTCAATGTAACTTTGGTAAAATATACTCTATATTTTAATTTTCTGGAAACTGTCTACTTATAGACACCATACATCTATAGTCATTCTTCAATAGAAGGAATATTTTATTGTGCTAATTTGTTTTACTAATTCTCCTAGGTATCATTTTAGACTACTCAAGCAAATATTACTTTTACAAATGATTAGAAAACCATGGGTCCCTATACTTGTTGAACTGAATAACTTGGCAGTAAAATTCGGTTAAGGCTCTTGGCATTGGTGACACCTCTTCCCACTCTGACTTGCTGCTGTGGTAAACTTGCACTTCATCTGTGATCTCATCTGGTGCATAATCTCCACCTAATATGTAAATCTTATCCTCAATCCCTATTGCACCTGCATTAAAGCCTGCACATTCAAAAGAGCCCTCTCCTTTCCAAACACAAGTATCCGGACAAAAACTGTATACTTTATAGGTGGAAAGGTCACATATATACAGGGTGCAGTTTACTGAGACAGCTTTAATTAAAGTAGCATGAAAGAACTGTCCAAACTCTGCTACTAGTTCAGACCACTGGTCAGTTGTAGCATTGTATTTAAAAAAACAATCAAGTGATGGGTTAAAAGCATCTGCAATCTCTACCTCGGATCCAAGAACATAAATGACATTCTGGCATGCACTGGCTTCTGGGTAATAGATACCTCTTGGTAAAGGGCTAACTGATATCCATTCTTTGGATAGTGGATCAAAAGATTCAACATCTAAAAGACTCTTAATGTCCCGGGATCCTCTAGTCTTTCCACCTATAACAAATAATCGACTAACAGCCATGACTGATGTATGCATGGTTCTTGGGGTTTTCATGGTTGAAACCAAGAAAAACTCATTTTTGACTGGACAGTAGCACCAGGTCTGGTCAGTGGCATCATGATAAGACTCAGCAATATGAAGTCGAATCTTCCTACAGCACTTCCCTTTGCAGCCACCCATCAAGAATATTTTCTCTCCATAGCTAGACAGACTAGATCCTGGCAAATCAATCAGATGTGATTGTGGCAGTATTTTCCATGAGTCGCTTTTAATGTTATAGCAAAATGTATGTTGATTTTCTCCATTTTCCTCAGTTTTATGGATAAATATATATTTTTCAGTTGTGGATGGTCGGGCATCAGCGAAGAGGCCACTAGAAACTTGCACACACTTAATGGCATCCACGATTATGTCAAAACAGTTTGTGCTTTTGAGTAAACACTCCTCATTGAGCAGATAGTCTTGAAGTGTGTCCTCGGATAACTGATGTAGCCTTACTTTTGTAATCAAGTGAGGCAGGTGCTTTCGCCTGGACTCTAAGTTGTATTTGATCCATGTAATGACAACCTTCAAGACCATTCCTTCTTCTGGCACATTTAACTCATCTGACTCCAGACACTTCTGCAGCACTCCAAAATTCATCTCTAAAAACTCTCTGGATTTAAATAACAAATGAAAGTGATGCTGTACAAAGCATAAAACCTGATTAAACAAATGTGTAGAGCCATAGCTGTCTGAGAGAGATAACAAGTGCAAACAATTGACGAGACTAATGCTTTTTATTAAAAAGTCACTGCAAGCTTTTGACAAAAAGGGAACCTGAAGAAAGGATGATAACTGAAAAAACATTTCTACATTATCATCTGTTATTCTTGTTTTTCCGGTATAGGCGTAGTCAAGAAATGCCTTTATTGCTTTGGAGGACAAGTTAGTAATGGTAACACATCCATCATCTCTTTCTTTCATCTTTACTTCAAACATAGCCCTGAAAAAATAAAGAACAAAGAAGCACTAGTGTTTTAGTCCACAATTATTAACAATATTACCATACAGATTCTTCTTTACCCTTTAGTTAATTTAAAATATGTTCATGAAATCACAATCAATGGCATCCTAATGAACTATTTTAGCATTTAAAATAGTTATATGCCATAATACACATCTGACATTATATAACCTTCATATTAAAAACTTTACAATGTAGCTTAGACATAGTAAAAAATGAAAAAAGGCTATAAAGTGGTTCAAATTTTTTGCATTGGTGAATTCTATAAAACTCAGTTTTCTTCAGTGGCAAATTAATTACTATTGTGGTAATAACTAAAATTACATTTTTCATCATAATTAAAGCTTATTTTATTTTTTATTGTTTTTATTGAGCTATATATTTTTCTCTGCTTTTCCCTTTCTCTCCACTCTCCTTCTACCCTCTTCCATAATCCCCATGCTCTCAATTAACTCAGAAGATCTTGTCTTTTTCTATTTCCCATGTAGATTAGACCCATGTATGTCTCTCTTAGGGTCCCTGTCTAGATTCTCTGGGATTATGAACTGTAGGCTGGTTTTTCTTTGCTTTATGTAGAAAAGCCACTTATGAATGAGTACATATGGTATCTGTCTTACTGGGTCTGGGTTGCCCCACTCAATATGATGTTTTCTAGATCCATGAATTTGCCCACAGATTTCAAGGTATCATGATTTTATCTATTGTCCAGTACTCAACTGTATAAATGTACCACATTTTCCTTATCCATTCTTTGGTCGAAGGGCATTTAGGTTGTTTCTAGATTCTGAATATGACAAATAATGGTGCCATGAACATAGTTGAGCACCTGTCTTTGGGTATGATTGAGCATCCTTTGGGTACCTACCTAAAAGTGGTACTGTTGGGTTTTGAGGTAGGTTGTTTCCTAGTATTCTGAGAAATTGCCACACTGATGTTAAAAGGGGCTGTATCAGTTTACACTCGTACCAGCAATGAAGGAGTGTTCCTTTCACCCCACACTCTCTCCAGCATAAGTTGTCACCAGTGTTTTTTATCTTAGTCATTCAGTTGTAAAATGGCACCTCAGAGTTGTTTTAATTTGCATTTTATTTTTGATGGCTAAAAATGTTGAACATTTTCTTAAGTGTCTTTTAGTCATTTTTTGATTCCTTTGTTGAGTGATCTCTCTTTAGGTCTGTACCCCATTTTTTTTATAGGATTATTCGTTCTTTTGAATACCAATTTCTTAAGTTCTTTGTATGTTTTGGAGATCAGCTCTCTGTCTGATGTGGGGCTGGTGAAGATCTTTCTCCATTCTGTACGCTGCCATTTTGTCGCCTATTTCCTTTGCTTTAGAGAAGATTCTCAGTTTCAGGAGATCCCATTTCCTAATTGTTTCTCTCACTGTCTGTGCTATTGGGGTTCTATTTAGGAAGTGGTCTCCTGTGCCAACACATTCAAGTGTACTTCCCACTTTCTCTTCTATGAGGTTCAGTGTGGTTGGCTTTATGTTCAGGTCTTTGATCCATTTGGACTCGACTCTTGGGCATGGTGATAAATACACAACAATTTTTATTCTTCTATATGTTGATATCCAGTTATTCTAGGACCATTTGTTGAATATGCTTTCTTTTCTCCATTTTATATTTTTTGCTTCTTTGTCAAAAATCAGGTGTTCGTAGGTGTGTGACTTGATATCTAAGTCTTCAATTCAGTTCCATTGGTCCTCCTGTCTGTTTTTATACCAACACTATGTTGTTTTCAGTACTGTATTCTATAATAGAGTTTGAAGTAAGGGGATTGTGATGCCTCCAGAAATTCCTTTATTGTATAGGACTGTTGTGGCTATCCTGGATTTTTTGCTTTTTCATATGAAGTTGAGTATTGTTCTTTTGAGTTCTGTGAAATGCCAGAATTTTGCTGGCATTTTGCTGGGCATTGCATTGAATCTGGAGATTACTTTTGGTAGAATTACCATTTTTACTATGTTAATTCTAACTATCCAAGAGCATGGGAGATCTTTCCACTTCTTGGTATCTTCTTCAAAGATTTAAAGTTCTTGTCATACAGGTCTTCTACTTGTTAAACAAATATTTTATGCGATTTGTGGCTATTGTGTAGTATTTCTCTGATTTAGTTCTCAAGCCACTTATCATTTGTGTAAAGGAGGGCTACCTTTTTTTTTTTTGAGTTAATCTTCTTTTCTGCTAAATTACTGAAAGGTTTTATGAGTTGTAGAAGTTCTTTGGTAGAAATTTTGGGGTCGCTTGTATAAATGGTGAGAGTTTGACTTCTTTTCTGATTTGTATCCCCTTAATCTCCTTTTGTTGTTGTATTGCTCTAGATACCTCAAGAACTATGTTGAATAGCTATGTAGAGAGTGGACAACCTTGTTTTGTTTCTGATTTCAGTGGGATTGCTTTGAGTTTCTCTCCATTTAGTTTGATGTTGGCTGTTGGATTGCTGTATATTGCCTTTATTATGTTTAGGTATGTTCCTTGTATCCCTGCTTTCTCTAAGACCTATATCATGAAGAGATGTATTTTTTTCAAAGGCTTTTTCAGTATCTAATACGATTATCATTTTTTTCCAGTTTGTTTATATGAATTACACTGACAGGTTTTCATTTGTTGAACCATCCCTGTATCTCTGGAATGAAGCTGACTTGATCATAGTGGATAATTTTTCTGATGTATTCTTGAATTCAATTTGCCAGTGTTTTATTGAATAGTTTTGTATCCATGTTCATGAGTGAGATTAGTTTGTAATTCTTTCTTAGTAATGTCTTTGTGTGGTTTGGGTATCAGGGTAATTGTAGCCTCTTATAGAGTTTGGCAATGTTTCTTCTGTTTCTATTGTGTGGAACAATTTGAGTATTGGCATTAGTTCTTTGAAAATCTTGTAGAATTCTGTGCTTAAACCATCTGGTCCTGGGCTTTCTTTTTTGGTTGGGAGACTTTTGATGACTGTTTTTCTTTAGAGTTATAGGTCTACTTAATTTGCTTATCTGGTCTTTATTTAACTTTGGTAAGTGATACTTAACCAGAAAATTGTCCACTTCCTTTAAGTTTTCCAATTTTGTGGAATACAGGCTTTTGAAGTATGACCTGATGATTCTCTGGATTTCCTCCATGTCTGTTGTTATATCCCCCTTTTCTTTCCTAATTTTGTTAATTTGGATATTTTCTCTCTCTGCCTTTTGGTTAGTTTGGATAATGGCTTGTCTATTTTGTTGATTTTCTCGAAGAACCAACTCTTTGTCTCATTGTTTTGTTGTATTCTTTTCTTTGTTTTTATTTTCTTGATTTTGGCTCACAATTTCATTATTTCCTGCTGTCTAGCCCCTAGTGGGTAAGTTTGCTTCTTTTTGTTCTAGAGTTGTCAGGTGTTCTTTTAACTCATTAGTGTGAGATTTTTTTTTCCGCTTCTTTATTTAGGCGTTTAGTGCTATGAACTTTCCTCTTAACATTGCTTTTATTTTGTCCCATAAATTTGGGTATGTTGTGTGGTCATTTTCATTGAATTTTAGGAAGCCTTTAATTTCTTATTTTATTTCTTCCTTGACCCACTGATGACTGAAGTGAGCATTGTTTAATTTCCTTGTGTTTGTGGGCTTTCTGAAATTAGTGTTGCTGTTGAATTCTAATTTTAAGTCATGGTGATCTGATAAGATACATGGGGTTATCCCAACTTTTTTTTTTTTATCTGTTAAGGTTTGCTTTGTTACCTAGTATGTTGTCAATTTTTGAGAAGGCTCCATGAGGTGCTGAGAAAGTATATTCTTTAATGTTTGGGTCCATGTTCTATAGATGTCAGTTAAGTCCATTTGAGTCATAACATGTGTTAGTTCCCTTATTTTTCTGCTAATTTTGTCTGAGAGACCTGTGAGTATTGCGTGTTAAAGTCTCCTACTGTTATTGTTGGGAGTTTAATGTGTGATTTAAGCTTTAGAAGTGTTTCTTTTACATATGAGGGTGCCTTTGTATTTGGAGCATAGATGTTCAGCATTGAGATTTTTTAAAAACTTATTTATTCATTATATATACAGTATTCTGCCTGCATGTATGCCTGCATGCCAGAAAAGGGCACCAGATATCATGACAGATGGTGGTAAGATATGTGGGTGCTGGGAATTGAACTCAGGACCTCTGGAAGAGTTGTCAGTGCTCTTAATAGCTGAACCATCTCTTCTTGATGGATTTTTCCTGTGACTAATATGAGATTTCCTTGTCTCCTTTGATTGATTTTAGTTTGAAGTCTATTTTGTTAGATATTAGGATAGCTATTCCAGCTTGTTTCTTAGGCCCATTTGATTTGAATTTTTTTTTTCCCCAATCCATTACTGAAGGATATCCGTCTTTGAGGTTGAGGTGTGTTTCTTGTATGAAGTAGAAGGATGGATTTTCTTTCCTTATCAAGTCTTTTAGCCTGTGTCTTTTTATAGGTGAGTTGAGTCCATTTATATTAAGGAATATTAATGACCAGTGATTGCACTTCTGTTATTTTAGTTTTCATTTTCGGTGGTGATGTTATTTTATTGTGTGTGTTTTTCCCTTCTTTGGGACTTGCTGCTGTGAGATCATCTATTGTCTGTATTTTTGTGGATGTAGCCAACTTCCTTGGGTTGGAGTTTTACTTCTGGTACTTTGTGTAGGGCTGGGTTTGTTGCTAGGTATTGGATAAATATGGTTGTTATGGAATATCATGTTTTGTCTGTCTATGGTGATTGAAAAGTTTGCTGAGTTTAGTAATCTGGGCTGGCATCCAAGGTCTCTTAATGTCTGCATAACACTTGACCAGAACTTCCTGGCTTTTACTTTCCATTGAGAAGTCAGATGTAATTCTGATAGTTCTGGCTTTATAAGTTAGTTGGCCTTTTTCCTTTGCAGCTCTTAAGATTCTTTCTTTATTCTGTATGTTTAGTGTTTTGATTATTATGTGGCAAGGGGATCATTTTTTTTTTTTTTTGATTAGTGTTCTGTAAGCTTGTATCTTCATAT